TCGTTGAAATTGAAAGTAACATTTTTATTTGCCACGTAATCTTACAGGCCAGCTCAAACAAATTCGAATCTGGGTGATATGTTGGTAATCGTACAACGTTGTAATTTGCTGCTAGAAAGAGCTGATTTATTTATACTCCTTCAAACTTGGTTGTTAATGAGGGCACATATATGATTTTTTTCGTTAAGACACCCTGCTATTCTAAAAATCAATATCTCGGTTGATGGTTTTATGAATTTACCTAAGCGTAACAAAACAAATAACTCACACTCCACTACACTCTCTACTCACTATAGTAACAAGATATTATCTACACGAGTTCCTCGATGTTAATGAGCTCTCGCCCTACTCCGCCTGCTGATCTACTGCGCATCCAATATTTAGAGGCACAGGTAGTTTTGCTATAAAATATATAGTAACTATACATTCTTCACAACATACGTTTATGTAAATCATTGATACGATTTCGATTCGGATGACAGATGATGGAACTGTAATAATCAAGCCTAAAGATCAGTCCACACGTTCATGCTCCACCGCTCGCTAAGTTGAATCCCTTATGTTTGAAGGTGATTGACAATGTTTCGTGATGGCTTTCACTAGTTCGGACTTCCATTGTCTACTATATAAAATGATTTGAAATCCTAAATTGGAACTTGTACAAATACTCGTTATGGTCACTGACTAGTGGATTTTATAAGGAGTCATGAAAATTATTCATTTCTTGCCATACACCGTGAAATGATTCGATGAAATGCAATTTTTCTCAAAGAAGTCGACAAGAAACGCAGTATTTTGTTTAATTACCGGAAAGTCTTCATTGTTTTCAAAACAATTCATTTGGAATGTTGGTTTTCTTTTTCATGAAGTGCATGCATTCATTGTTATTATTGATATTCGTAATATTTTTCAGGTGCTAACACAAACGATGATAATCACTTGTTGATATGGTGTAAATCAATCTTTCGATTTTTATCGATCTAAATCCGAGAGAGTGTTCAATTTTACTCCTAAACGACTATTACTTCATCTATCCAGTCGTACTTCAACTGACTTGTGTTCAATATATATTTTCCATACTTGAGGTCTGACAATTCCGCTTGTATGGAGCTCTGCCTCTAGGCATACCCTGAAGCTTCTGGATTCCATCCAGAAAAGAGCCATCCGCCTGATTGGAGACACTTACATCACTTGCAACCTTAATAGTCTGGAAGACGGGTTGGAGATTTGTCTCTCTTCTCTAGATACTTTTACCAAGAGCGGTACATATCAGAAATACGCGACGGACTGTGGCTGCTTATCGTTTCGAGGTTCAACTCAGTGCACCTCGAACCTCACTGTTTGAGAACTCTTCAATTTGGAGAACTGCGTTTATGTGGAATAAACTTTCTGAGAACGTTTTTCCAAATGGATTTGATACCCAGCGAATGAAATCCAATGTGAATCACTATTTCCGCACAGGCACCGCTCTTAGAGTGCGTTAAGGATTTTCCTGTAGTTCATGTGTTTTGTCCTTAAAAAATGTTTGAGTAACACTTAATTGTGATATTTTCAGTGGACAGTTTACAAAATCGCAACACGTGTTTCCGAATGCCCAAATACGTTAAATACTTGAATGCGTTATGGATTTTCATCAATTGTCGGCTAATTCCATGACATATCTTATGGAAATCAAAACAAGTTTGAAGACTGCATGAGAAAAGATACATAAGTATAAGAAAATAAATATTTCGAAATAAAATCTTGAAATATCCATCTCTCCCAACTACTTACATCATAAGTTTCTTGTTTCAGGGATTTCAAATCATTTTATATAGTAGACAATGGAAGTCCGAACTAGTGAAAGATTGAATCCCTTATTTGTGACAAAATGGTAGCAAGCACAAAACAACACGAGCAGCTTGCGTAGGCAATCCATGTTTTATTCTTCCTTTTTTTTTTCGTAAGTAAGTTTTGTGTATGGATGGCCTTTAACGCGGTAAGAAATTGGCTGGGTCAGCTAGTTTTCTATACAAAGCAGTACAGAGGAGAAATCATGAGAGGATGCAATAAAAAAGCAATAAGGTAACAAGGCTGTAGTGTATTTTGGAGACTTGGAGAAAATTAACAAACCAGACTGCTCTGAAATACCAAAAAAGGAATACTCAACATTGAAGTGGACATTTGTATTCTCGCAGGACGTAACATTTCCATTTGAAACGGTACAAGTGAGAAGCATCGGAATGAAAGAATGGAACGGGGTTTCACAGTAAAAACGTTTTATCGTGCGGTCATTTTCCGCGAAAAATAATAAAAACTTGTTCTTCGTCCCTTTTTCCTTCCAATATCCCGTTGATACACAATATACGACACGTCGACATCGCATCGGCTGTAGGCGGCAGATAGGAATGGGATCAAACCGTTTAACAGCCAACGTAATCAGCATGATAACGATTTTCGCTCAGTCGCCGGATGTCATAACAACTGCAGACTCCTCAATGGATGGCGCATTTGGATGAAACTTGAACTTATCAGTGAAAGGGCTGCCAACTGGCGAATCGTTTATCGACTGCCGTACCTTGGCTGCGTTATGCCTCACAAAGGCTGCGAAATACCGCATTTCACGGCGAAAAATCTCACATAAGCTCGTTGTTATCTATTTTTATTCGCGATATTTTTGGGGTACGTTTTGCAGGGCGGATGAAGTGAAAGCGAAAACCTTTCAGCGTTTTTGTTCGCGAAATGGTTCGTGCAAAAGGTGTTTCTGAAGTAACAGCACATCGATTCACTGTAGACAAATGAACGATATTTCTGAATTATCCCTCTTCATATTCTATAACATAACTTGTACAGTTCGAAAGGACTTTTACCGTAAGGTGGCGTTGCCTAACTCTAGGGAAACAAATAAAATGTAAAAGTTACAGTTTGTATTGATTTCGTAGTGAATCATTTGATGGGATGATATATTCAGTGAAAAAATATTGCTCCTTGTTTACAAAGTTTTTCGTTGAAATTTTCTTGTTACGAAGTGAAATTGATTCCAGTGCTCTCCAGCCTTGTTCCGAAATAAGTAAGTGATACCGGAATAAGTTACAATATGAATACTTTGAAACCTTCTTCCAGCCTTCTTACACAGCAGAATATTTTGAATGTCCACAGAAAAATAACTACTTTCCTGACTGTTGATACAACGGACATTGGATCACATCCGAGAGATATTTTTTCAAGTTTCCTCACTGAGAAGAGTCATTGAGAAGCTTCTTATTCGCCCAGAAGCAACATATTGATTGAATTATTCATGTTATTACTTACAGATCGGTTTAGAAAAATCACTTTTTCAGTGCAGGACAGATCTGGGTAAGACACTTGAGCACATCAGTGAAAAAGTTGCGTTCTGGCAACTCTTTTATCGACTGCCTATGTACTTTGTTTATATTATGCATCACAAAGGCTGCACAGTATGGCAATTGAAGACAAAAAATGTCGAAAAAGCTCATCAGAAAGTTGTTGGGTTTCCATTGCTCCATGTCTATACAAAAATGCGACAAAACTTCTAAGAGATGAAAGAAAGCAATTGATTTCAGAAAAAAACTCTTTGAAAAGATGTGTAGAGCATGCATGCAAGTTACTTCCAGGCACAAACTGATAGAAAAAGCCCTCTGGAAATAATTTCCTTCATATAAATATTGAATTTCATGAAAGAAATAATACTTTTGAATTAACTACTTGTTTTATAGGAAAGTGGGCTTTCACGGCTGGTGTCAATGTTTCGGTTGGTTTCTGGGTTTTGCCGTGGTCTTCTTTGGTTACAATTTCCAAACGTTTCAACTGCAACTGCGGTAGTCATCTTCAGTGGTGTGATCGAAGTACTCCTCTTGAACTGAAGCTTAAGCTCTCATTTTGTGCCATGTCTTTTATGGTGCCGTAGGTTGGGGATACTTTGATCAATTTTTCACTTCAAAGTTATAGAAATATTTTTCTTTTATGCGAAAAGATGAAAGAAAAAAACTGAAACATCGGTTTTTACTTACCTACAGATTCTGAAGATAACCACGTGATCAAAGATATACTGATTTAGGGGATACTTTGATCACTCTCGATTTTTCAACGAAATATGAAAGTATACCATTTTAAACGACCGGAAAAAAAAAAAATAAAGAAACCTTTTTATACATTCTGCGTGTTACGTTTCAATTTAGCACTAGATCAAACTGCTCTTATGTGACCTTTCAAAACACTACCTTACCTTTTAAGATTTTTATTCAAAGGATATTAACAATGTAATTGAGTTACAAGTAGATTTTATTCATTTAACATCATAGTAATGGGAATCTTCCGTTCCATAGAAAACCATACCTGAAATGTACAAGAATAAATGTATGCTCCCTGACTAGCTGCTTTGACCAGTACTTACGCATTCTCCTATTGCCAATCGACGTTGGAGATCCGAAATTCCTCGCTAGGTTGAAATAGTTGTTATTGTTTGTTTCTCAGTTTACTTCGCCTATCATTTTTCAGCCGTTGTCTGCCTTATTCTCTATACCTTCCCAAGAATATTTCTTGCATAGATTGTTATTCATCACTTCCAGAAGGATTACTGACATATTAGAGCCATATCGCCTGAAAAACAATATTAGTTAGCTCTGGTTTCTGAATACTGTTTGATATTTTCGGTAAATATTCTGCATAATATGAATGCTTAAATATTTGTACTGAAAGGGAAGGATGTGGCGACTTACCTTATATGTTTCTATTCCATCGCATGAATAAGGATTGGTAAATAGTTGAAAATAGGTTGGAGTGCATACTTTTGTAAACATTCTATTTATTACAAGGTTTAGAGACAGCTGTTGGTTGACATCCGCCGAACTTTCGTAGTGTCGTTCCAACGAACTACACCGAGCTAGTTCTACAGTTGTTCACGGGTGAGGGATTGATCGGTTACTCAAGTTGTCAAGGGTTGTTTAAGGGTTGCATGGCTTTGAGAAGGAGTTTTGATGGGTCATAGACTTGTTGATATTGTCTCAAGTGGCTGTGGAGGAATTGATAGATTTAGGATGTTGTGCACAGCGCCCCCTTGGTGCTTGTAGTGTAGATTGGACGCACTGTGGCAACAACTGGTTAGCTGTCAGATGTGGCAGTCTCGGAGTATTCGGAAGTTAGCCTTCGACGAGCTTGGTTCGGAGTTAAGAGTACCATCAGACTGATTGTAGGATATATTTGGTTGTATTTGTGCCATCCTTCACGAGGATTATTTCTACAAGTCAGGATTGTATAGTGGAAGACTGATTGGTCATTTTGGTGTGGATATTTGCAGTCTGAAACTTAAGCTCTTTTGAGGATTTGTGGTGGTTACCGAACTCGTGCCAGGTGGAAGGATTTCCGAAATTAGGTATGTCTGAATCACTGTCGCATCTCTCATGTGGTCTTAGCTATGATATCACCTCTTCAATTCTACAACCTTCGTTTCTCGTCTCTAGATTCATAAGAAACAGAAGGCCCTCAGTCACTCATCAAGTCCCAGCAGGACTTCCGTGCAGAACACCGCACACGAAGAATCGTATAGAAAACCCCTTGGCCAGGGTAAGAATTTTACCATTAAATGTGTTTTAAATGATTTTGGTAATATTTACTCCCAGCGTTGTCATTCAAGTGAATATTAGTATTGAGGAGAGGTTTCAACACTCATTCAATTTTCTTGATTTTTTTTTACGGGTTATATGGTTATACAGGGCACCCAATATACCAGGGGTATTGATTAGTCAAATAGTCCCTATTGAATGGGGGTTGAATCTCACCTTGTTTTTATCTGATTCTGATTGAGAATTTTCTTCCGTAGGGTTTTTTTTTCCTGTTTTCTTTTTTTTCCTGTTTACCTTTTTTTTCCTATTTTCTTCTGGATCTTATTTGGTGATCCATTACTGGTCCAGCTTGTCGTGCCCTACAGGGTGATCTATCTTAGTGGTGCTACAGGGTGATCCATCTCCGCCGTACTACAGGGTGATCCATCTCCGCAGTACTACAGGGTGATCCACTTCCGTCGAACCACGGGGTAGCCTAACAACATATACCGGGTGGCCCAAAAGGAGCACGCAAGTTATAATTGATTTAATTGAAAATTTGTGATATACTGAGATATTTGCATAATTGTTGCCCTTATGTTTATTGATACCTGTTGTTATAGTGTATGTTTATCGTTTATTGATCAAGACTTTGTTTATTGATACCTGATTGATATAGATATCTGTGAAACGGAAATTGAGGTATATTCTTCCTTTCACGATTGCACTGATTGACACCGATGCGCCTACGCCTGAGCTCACGCGACGCAAACGAGTTTGTCTTACCATCCGATACTAGTATTTACGATTTCACCTACTCAATTTTCGTGGTAGTTTTATTCGACGTATTGTAGTTTTTTTTGAGCGTCGTTACTACCGTAATTTATGGCTGATTGAATTCGTGGTTATATACACCGCGCTCTTGTATTGATATTTGAACATCGCGTAGTAGTGTGAATATTGCATTGTTGTCTTAGAAGCGTTGTTGGTTAATCCATGTAAGTTAGGATTACTGAATAAATCATATTGGGGATCTTTATCTTTTATTTCCAATATTAATTGGTAAGTTATTGATATTGTGAGTTACTTAGGGTATCTGGAGGATTAAATTTACCTGGCGCCCATTAAGATCTATTTGAAATTTGCTAAGTTGTTTAACCCACTCCCGTCTCCACTGTTTATCTTAGTTGCGGATACCCATCTGTCTTATTTGTTACCGACAGATGATTTAGTCTCCTCTTGTGGTTTGTGAGGTGACATGCGAACCCATTTCAGGGGTAACTTTGATCACAGAAAAACTCTTTTTTTCGCAGTTATATTTCAAAATCTTCATTTATAAAAAACGTAAAATAATATTCTATAAAATATTAACGATTTGGATTATTTGAACAACATAAATAAAGAACTTTGTATTTCACTAGGGCACATAAAAAATTGAATTCTAGGTAGAAAGGTAGGTATTATAAACAGTTGGAGATGTAAATTTAAATTTCATTAACGTCAATGTCAGTTTCAAATACATAAAACAGGTGGCCATCTTCGTCTATTTCCAAAGGATCTGGCGAACTTTTAATGATGTCGCTATGCTTGATTTCCGAAATATCATCAGCAATAATTTAAAATTTCCCTGGATAGACCAGGAAACTTCCCAGAAAGATACTTGAAACAATCTCCTTCTTTGTCTAATGCTTTCACAAACTGTTTGATTAGCTCCAATTTGATATGGAGTGGTGGAAGTAAGATTTTTTATCCATTAAACTTTTTATCCACTAAACTTTGTTTTTCAACATTTTATACTCCAGTATGAGACCCTTTCTTATTGGCCACACCTGCTTGACATAGTGTTGTTTCCTGTCACGGCTATCCCATTCACATAGGAAACATGGAAAATTAGTGTAACCACTTTGTTGACCTAGTAACATTGAAATAACTTTCAAGTCTTCACAAATGGTCTACTTATGATCAGAGTAGCTGAGCTTATTAAGAACAAATTCAAGATTTTCGTAGCATTTTTTCAAATGGACTCAGTGTACAACAGGCACAGAAGCATATTGGTTCCCATTGTGAAGAAGTACAGCTTTCAAAATTCTTTTTGATGAATCGATGGAAAATCTCCATTTCTCTGGTTCATACGTTATGTTGAACATTTCCATGACGCCGGCTATATTATTGCAGAAAACTAGCCACCCTCTTGTGTAAAAAAAGGGACAAATTTCCTTTCTCTAAATCGTTACCATGAAAATGAAATACCGGAGCTAACATATGTCTTTCTTCAAGTCTAGACCCTAAAACTTCTGCTGAGTCTGGGAGGCCCAGATCTCGTACTAAATTGAGAGAAAAGTTCAGGGTCATTGGTACCTGGATCGTAGCTGTCGTCACTGTCGCTACTGCTATTATGTGTTTTTGCATCTAAATCGTCTAAAATGTTGTCCAATGTATCCGAAGGTAAAGGAATAGGCAAGTTAGGTCCATGAGAAACAAGGCGAACAACTGAACGTATGTTGGTGAAATTGAAACCTTGTACTGGACAAGAACAAATATCAGTCATCACTGTGTTTTTAGGCTCTCTCCAAACCACGGGTACTCCAAAACGGAATGATTTTTTCTTACCTTGAAACCATTGTCTAAGTTCTTCAACACACACAGAACACAGTGTATGGGGAGCCCAATATTTATCTTGGTCCCTAATTTAATACCAAAGTATGCAAAATACACCTTCTGTTGTTGCTTCTTGATGGTATAAGACCTACAAATAGAACAGAAACTCTTAGGAGAGTTAACACATCCTCTAGTAGTCATTCATTCTCAAAACGGTAGCACAAAACTGTTTGAAGTGTACACCACAGTGGTTGGCTCCACACTGATCGAGTCACTGCCTGCAACTAAGGTTACGCCCGGCGCCCAGCAGACAGTTGGTTTAGGGAGGGGGCAGACAGACTGACACATACATGCTTTATTCCAGTAGGAACTGGATTTTCCTAGATTAGATTCGTTTTGTTATTGAAATAAATAGATTAAAACCGTATTTTATCTTAGATATACACTCACATTGTGTAGTAACTTGTTCATCATAAAAGCTTCATAATTCAGACTCAATTTACTATATAATATAGAAATATCGAACCCATACCGTACCTAAAAACCCATTCAATAAGGAAATTTTAGGTGAAATTTGGGACTTATCTATAGGTGGTAGAATTTTTTTACTATTTTTCCGTGATCTGCACACAAAATATTGTTAAAATCACTAGTTGAATATCCTTCAATTTTTTCATCGCAGACCTGTGTAATTTATTACTACCAAATAATTCACTCCAATAAATTCCAACAAATCAGTTGCCACTTTTTTCCATGCTCTATCAATACCTTCGTGCCAAATGAGTGATTCCTATTATTATTTTTGAGACACCAGTCTCTTCGAATCCCACCGCTGCCACCATGTTAAATATTTGATTTTTTTGGTGTATATGATATATGAAGGGAATAATAACTTCTACAGCGAATCATTCAACAGTATAATTTCAGTCACTAACAACAAACATGAGGGTTCCTAATCCTAATACTTGTATCTACAGCTGCCGGACAGAGTCATGGCCGGTGAGAAGCCCCTCCCTCAAGATGTGCAGTACATGTGTAGAAATCTGTTATCTGTTAGTCTGTCAGTCTGTTAGATTCTTCGAGCCGTACTACGTGAAATTGCAAACAAAAGTTTCAGTACCTTTTTTCCGAATACTTTCTTTGTCATATACCTACGGTTGTGCATGTAGCTAGTAGCACAAGTCGCGGTTGAAATGTGGACGTGACTTGGAGTATAAGGCATGACTTGTTTATACGGAATTTATAAATCAAATATTTGACATTATTATGATTTTATCGACCATGTAATCTGGAAACAGCTATATGGTAACTTTTCCAAAGCGCTAGGTAGTAGATGCAGATTTCATGTTGGGACATACGTACATATGTCACACATACATACGAATGTATATGTAATATACAAGCAACAACCAAAAAAATAAAGAATTGAAATATTGATGAAAGCTGAAAATTAAAAAAAAAATTAAAGAAAATATTAACTTTTTTATTTTTTTTCAGGGATTTTAAATCAGTTCATATTATATTAGACAATGGAAGTCCGATTAATGAAATAGACCTTTCGGTTATTTACTACGGAGGTGCGAAACTGTTTTTTCAAAACCGGGCAAAGATAGCCCAGAGGACAAAGTCACCCCAATTTACGGTTATATTGAAGAAATAACAATAAATTAAAAATTTTCGAAAATGCATTTAATTCTATTTATTCAATAAACATCTTAAGTATAACTGAAAACAACTAAACTTGAATCCATATATCATATCTCGTTATCACATTCACTCCCAGGTTAAGTAATATACATCTTCTTTCAATTGAAAAAGAGTATATAAAATAAGTGACAGGCAACCCCCGATTTTATGACGAAGTGATTGACTACTTTGCCAATTTTGAAAATATAAGGATTCCTCTCATATTTAAATTAGAGTAGGTAATTCAAAAAGTCTGTATATATTATACTAGTTGTTGACCGCGGTTTCGCCCGCGTCGAATTTGGTAGTTGTGCTACTAATTAGTACTATGTTGCTGTATAGCTGCTGTTTCAATGTTTTGATAGAATCAGAATCAACCAACTCAGGCGTGCGCAGCGTTATAGAACAGTGCTTTCAAAAAATTGTTCTACAGCGCCATCTAGTGGCGAGTTTCAGAAAAAGTGATAGCCTAAACACCTTCTCTATGAAAAACCAGTACTATGTTGCTGTATCGCTGCTGTTCCAATGTTTTGATAGAATCAGAATCAACGAACTTAGGCGTGCGCAGCGTTATAGAACAGTGCTTTCAAAAAATTGTTCTACAGCGCCATCTAGTGGCAAGTTACAGGAAAATTGATAGCGTAAAAACCTTCTCTATGGAAAACTACTCATACATGTCAAGTTTCATCACGATCGGTTGAGCGATGTAGAAGTTTATCACTTATTAACCAACCAACCAACAAACATCCATTCTTATATATAGATTTATATACATCTTTATATATTAGATATGGTATCTTTCGAAAACCAAATATCTATCTATTTATTTGAACAATTTGCGTCCCACTTCACAGTCAATTTTCTGGGAAAGGCACCACCCACTATTTCCACACTGGAATCCACAATGCCAGAAATTACTTTTCGACAGCGTCTAGCCAGGCGAACTTTGGAACAGCTCAATATCGTACTTCAAAAGTGCGCAAATAAAATCGCACCAGTATTTTGCAGAATTTTCAACCTGTCTTACAAGATTTTCCTTCTTGTTGGAAGATTGCTCGCGTTCAGCCTATTCCCAAAAAGGTCAAAAAAACTTTCAAATAACTATAGACTAGTCGCTTTCCTATCAGTGATATCAAAAATCATGGAGAAGGTCGTAATCCAAAATATCCTCAAATAGTTGGTAGGCTTCAACATATTGAGCGATCATCAATATGGCTTTCGGAAACAAAAATCAACAGGCGACCTTCTAACGTATGTCACCCATATTTGGAACAACGCAATCGAGAAACATAGAGAATCAAGAGCCGTTGCGCTTGATATTTCTAAGGCCTTTGACCGTGTGTGGCATGAGGGTTTGCTGGCCAAACTTCGATACTATGGCTTGTCGGATCTTACAGAACACGTTGATGTTCTATATTATCTCCAATGTTTTTTTTATTATATTTCAACGACTTGT